ACTGGACTCAGTCTGGTGGAGGCTGGTAGTTGTGGTCCATTAGTTGAAAAATGTTTTTAATTATACAAATGAATTTTGATAATCTTTAGTATATTGAAGTAATGTTTATTAAAGACTGCTTTTATAACCTGAAAAAGTTAATGAAATTGTCAGATTTGAGAAGGTGAGGCAGTAGAAGGCAATGAATGTCTTATTATTAAATAATAAGATAAAACTAAGAATACAAAGTAACCAAATAGTCATAATAAAAGGGAAGGGAACATATTAGCTTGATCCCAATAAATGTTTGGGAATTGCATTAAATATAGTAGTTAACTTATTATTTCCACTTACTAATTCTTCACATGTAACAGGTGGCACGAAAGGTCCCGGGGTGGCACAAATGGTTTGTGCTTAACTACTTACCTAAAAGTTGGTGGTTTGAACCCATCCAGTGGTGCCATGGAAGAAAGGCATGATGCTCCACCTCTGTATAAGATTACAGCCAAGAAGACCCTATGGAGCAGTTGTACTCTGTAACACATGGGGTTGCCATGAGTCGGAATCGACTCAACAGCAATATTTTATTTTTTTTAAAACAGGTGGCATGGACCAAGAGATCAGTGGATTGAAAGTCAAGACTCTTGGCACTCGCAGTGGTATTATCAGTATCTGAAACTAGCATCAGTATTACCAGTAACAAGGCGAGTTATTTTAGGCAAGGAATAGTTTCCAGAGGAGATCACACTTATGTGCATACTTGTCTACCTTTCCATATGTTTGCTATGAGGAAAAACTCAGATTATCTATGTGACAATGCCTTTCTCAGGAGAGAACAAAATTACAGAAACTGTGAGAGCAGAATTTCATGACAGCAGTAAGGAACACTCCACCAAAACCAAACTGTCGGGTCTGTCCCAACTCATAGCGAACCTACAGGACAGTAGAACCGCCCACAGGGTTTCTAAGGCTGCAGTCTTTATGGGAGCAGACTGCCACATCTTTTTCCCAGGGATCAGCTGGTGTGTTCAAACTGCCAACCCTTCAATTAGCAGCCGAGTGCTTAACTACTGTGCCACCAGGAAATGCTCAAGAATGTCAAATGAAGCAGAGAGGAGAGAGTCTTAAATCTTTGCATGGGGTTTGGCAATTAGGAAGTCAGAAGAATGGGGAATGGGAGGAGTGGAAGTCAGTGGCAGTGAGCATAGACTTACCGTTCAAGAAGTTTGACTGAAAGAAAGGAATTTTCTATGTATGTGACATATAGTCACATACATTTTGGATGTGTGGTGACATATAGTGAAGTTATGTTTGTTTTGTTTGAGATCTGAAACCTGCCTGTTTTTTAGAACTGTGGTAAATATATACTATATTTTCGAAAGTAATGGGTCCACATAAAAAATGCACACACACATATAACATGCAGAAATGACAAAATTATGTAAAAAGTTCTAGCATAGGGTGCCCATGCATATACCGCATATGTCTTTTGACATTCCCAGAAG